ATTATTCGTATAAAATAGTTATCGTATACGCATTTCTCAAAGTGAGTAAATTCAAACTTGTATTCCATTTTTATACCAGTATTATTCTTGTATCCCCTCCCCTCGAATCCATGGTGAATTATAAATAAGTGCAAATATTATACGATCGAAAAAATGTCTTCAGCAATGGATTGGAAATGAAGATCGCTGTCAGTTAATATGTAAAATTAGATGGGGAATGTCAACGATCGTCATTTCAAATACAACTGAACGCCTTTTTTTCGATCATACGGTTTTTAGGGATGGTAATATAAGTCTGTTCAACGACAAGATCCTTGACAGTGATAGATGTGTCTGTCATTTTATTTTCAAATTAGTTTATTTTATTTTACAGAGAAATAAGTTGGTACAATTGGAACGCATAGCAGAAAATTAATATATGTTTAAAATTTGAGTGACAAGTAATTACTTCAAAATATTGTGAAAAAAACTGTATAAAATTGAAAAGATCTAATCGAGTTATTTTATTAAAAACAATTACAGTACGTGTTAATACAAAACAAGCAAGGGTGTATTTTAAAAAACACCACATATCTACCAAAAAAAAATATAAAAAAGATTTCCTGCTTTCAAGCCTTTTTGAACTTCTAGCATTGATTGTTACATTTATCAATATAATTGTTCAATATGATTATTATTTACCTTTCGTGTGTTGCTATTTTACATATATATGTACTCCAATTTTTGGTATCATATACAATATAGTATACAAACTTTATTTGTGGCTAATACAATATCAAGAGTATTTTATAGTAACCTATGGTCTGGCTCAATGCTTAATTTCTCCTTTGAGTTTTCCTCCACTTAATTTTAAAAAACGCGAAACACACGTAATAACACAGTCCAAAATGCAAAATGTAAAATATTTATCATTTCTATTTGACATAATTTGACACAAAATTATAACCTATAATTTGTCAAGAGTTTGACAAGTCTCAAAAATGTTAAGTCGAGTTCATACACATCAGCGTCCGTTTGTCGTTCATCGTTCCGTTAAACTAAAGTCCCTAGATATATAAAGTACCGCAATTACCGCCATATTGGCGCCAAAACTAGCGGCAAATTTAAAAAGGAGGCCAACATTTCGCTGTTTCGGCTTTTTAAGCAGCTGGTCGGTCCGGCGCCAATATGGCCGACCAACATTGACAGGCAAGCCGTAAAATAAAATATTTATTAATTGTAATAGAATTACGTTTATTATCTACAGTTTACCTTCATTTTAACGTAATATCAGGTGGTATATTAATATTCAATTTCATAAATTTAATTTTTTAGGCCTATATATGTTAAGAGGTTATAAACGAATGGTTTCCGTACAAGTGTTTTTCATTTGTATTAGCATTTATTTTATGTTACCTTTTAGCGCAAAGTACGCCAACAGAAGTAAGTTAATAGGTAAGAAGAAATAAAGTTGGAATAATATTTAGAATTTTAGTACTTAATTCAGTCGAAACAATTGGAAAAACTTTGTTTGTTGATGAGAACGGGATACCTATACCATAAGTAAACTTTCCCTATTATAACCAGTTATGCTGTAGTTAGTTTTGACAAATAAGCATGATTTAACGAAAGTCTTTGGAACTATGAATAAGCTACAAACTTAAATTTGTAGGCCGGCTTTTATACGAGAAAATTTTGAACCATGGTTGAAACAAATAAATGTAATAATTAAATTGATATGATACATACCTGCTATTTTTAAAATATATTAATATATTGATAGAAAGATTGTTTCAATTAGTATTACTTCAGGTAGTTTCGGCATTTTAGGTATGCAATTGTGCACTTAATTTAAAAATAACTTAGAAAGAAGCTTGAAATGCATAAGAGCTCTTTATGTATGCTGTATAATTAAGGTTTGTTATGGAGTGGTTTTTATACAACAAATTTATTATTAGTTGAATAAAAGCAAGTTAATACCACATAATACAATTAAAATATATTTTACTCTGCAATTTAATGTTATATTTTTAAAACAACAAGTGTCATAATGTTTAAGTATCATTATAATAAAAAAGTTATACTGCTATAAATTTAACATTGAAATAACTGTAATTATTGTTATACATAAATTAAGTAGGAATAATTTTACCTCGACAATATGTAAAACTTCAAATGAATCTTAACAATTTTATGTCATGTATAAAAATCAAATTTAAATCACACACTTTTATTTATAACTGACAGTATAAGACCAAATTTTTAAATATAACTTTACATGCTTACATTATATTGTTTACTTTCTATTAGTAATTACAATATGAACCAAAAAATATTAATTACTATCAATAAATACATAAAAACTAATCTATTTAAGTCCATGAAAATAACTATATAGTTAGCATATGCATAAACAACATTCTTGTTATTAGGATCAAATTTATTTGAGCTTTTTTTCATTGTTTTGATTAATATCCCTGTTAGTCCTGACTGGTAAAACCACCTGAAGCGATGTCATCCAAATCTATATATGTATCATAACATAACTTATTCTTTTAAATAATTATCCTTCGTTTGGTCTGATGATAATATATTGTAGATTTATCTAAACTTCTTGCTGCAAAATGTTGAAAACTAAACTACACTAAACATTTTAGGGAATGATTAAGTAGAGATTTCACTTACACTTAGCATCCTTTTTAAAAGATATGTATGGTAGTTTGCAAGTAAGGTCTTTGTCTTGTTCTAGATTAGATTTCTAGAGGTTGATCTCGGCCTGATCTCAGACTGCGACATTCTCAGATCTATTGTGGTCTTGTCTTGTTCTATAATGAAGTTTTATGTACCAATAGGTTATACTACAAATAAGATTGTTAAAAATATTCACTGGAGCATAAATAAATTCAATCCACTACCTAACGTATATTGAATATCGACGATGTTAGAAAACACATCAAATTTTTCGTGTAATACACATTTCTTCACTAAAGATATCGAGGCCTATACATTATTAACTAATAAATTTGTAGCATTTTAGTGGCTTTATAATTATTTTAAAATATGTGGATAAATATTTTTATCCTGAAATTGACAGCCTCTCAATATTTGACATGACAAATTCAGACAAATGTGACATTTAAACAGTCCTACCACTACAGTTTTTCCAGAAATACCCCAAAAATCCGCCATTTTGGCGCCAATAACATTGAACAAACCAATTGCGGTACTTTATATATCTAGGGACTTTACGTTAAACCAATAATATTGAAATATGATCTGTAATTTTTGAAATAAACCAATAAAACTTGTTAAAAACAACAAGAGATGACGCATGACGGATTTATATATAAACCCATTCATAGTTAACTTAAAAAATATTAGAATTTTTTTTTAGATAAATAAATGGATTGGTATGTACGTCATCTGCTTTTTTTCTATCATCGTCTGTCGAAATATTACCTGGGAAAAAAACAGAGTATATCAGTTTTTCTGCGTGAAAAAAAAAATAAAAAATATATTTTAAAATTTGTTTAAATTTCGAAATATACTTTACAATTTTTTTTTCAACAAATATATTTTTTTTTAATTTTCAGGTAAAGACATATTATAATACTAGCGTGTACCTGCGACTTCGTTCACGCGAATCTGCGATTATCGTCGAATTAATCATTTGTAATGGTGATAATAAAGCAAAGCAAGAATTTCCATTAACATACAAACTGGATAAAATGTTCACACATTTATGTCAGCATGAGAAAAACAATCGAGAAACCCCTCCTTATCGAACCTCTACACCCCACAGTCAATCCGTTTGCCAAAAATCAGCTTTAAACGTCAAGCAGTTTAAGCAGAATCGTAATTACTCAACGGTCATACTATATGAAACATCCTGTAATTTTTTTTAAATATTGTTACGGATTCCGTGGGTCCACTATTTAAACTCACGATAAAATACATAACGAATTTATTTGTCTCACTCTGTACACACAACTTATACTATTTACAACACAATTTATGCAACTACTATTACTCTAACGGTATTTCACAATTTAAAGCGCGGTATTATCAAACTTCAGACTTCAGACTATCTTCAGACTGGTCCCTGGCGATTGTTTCTGGAATTTTCTAAAGAATTCTATAATTTTCTTTTACTTTCTGGCGAATTCGCCAGGTTCCTCAATGCACGTTCCGGTTATGTAGCAATAATCCAGTTATGCAACCAGTAATACATCTTGACAATATTAAAATATGTAAAACAACAAAATAAAATATACGTGTTTAAGAGTTTTTCCGAAAAACTCACCGGTTTTTAAATAAAAAATATTCTAATATTTGAGGGGTGGTTTCACCCCCTTAGAATTCGAGTTTCGAAAAATCCCTTCTTATCGAACCTCTACACCCTAAAGTCAATCTGTTTACCAAAAATCAGCTTTTTTGGTCAAGCGCTTTAAGCAGGATCGTGATTAATCAATGACCAGATTTTTCGAAACACCCTGTATACATTTTTAAAAAATCTTAAAATATGTAAAAGAACAAAATAAAATATACGTGTTTAGGCGTTTTTTCGGAAACTTGACCGTTTTTTAAATAAAAAATATTGTAATATTTGAGAGGTGGTTTCACCCCCTTGGAACTGGAATTTCGAAAAATCCCTTCTTATCGAACCTCTACACCCTAGAATCAACCTGTATGCCAAAATTGAGCTTCTTACGTTGAGTGGTTTGAGCAGGATCGTGATTAATCAGTATGTCAGTCACTTAAGGATTTTATATATTAGTATAGATGCACTGTGTTGCCGACTCTAGGTATATTGATTTGAGAACTCGTGGGAATTTTTAGAAAAAACGGATAATTTTGACTGTCTTCGTGGGAAAAACTATTTCAGAAAGTTAGCAACACTGATCGGTATGATATTTTCTAAATGGAAAACCCTGTATATTATTGCATTTTTGGCTTCCTTTCTGCTCACTTTACATAATCCTAAGATATTATTAAATAAACAAATAATAAAATAATCTTACCAGTATTAGAACCTCTAAGTTCTTTCGGATTGTATCCAGAATCTACAATAGTCTCGAACACAGTTTCAAACATAATCCTATGTCTAGGATCGATATAATTTGCCACTTTAGCACCGCATCCAAAAAATGAGGCGTCAAATTTTTCTACATTGTTAATTTTGCCTAGTCTTTTAGGTGTACCTAGACTTCCTGTAATCATCATGTAATATTAAAATTGTATATAATCAAATATAAATTATTATGTATAACGCTTTTGAAATTACTTGCAAAAATATATAGGCTTGGTGCATTTCAGTTGATTTCAACAAATTCCGACCGCAGCGCTTCAACGGCAGAAATCAGAAATTATCATTATGTATTTCACGCCGCCGCCGCGCCGCCGTGATGTTGATCGCATTAAAATAATATTGAAATCGTGGTTTTGTCATAATATTTAAGTATTAAGTTTTTTGCTAGTGCAGTATTGAGACTAGAAAACACTCAGGTACGACGTTTGTGTGATGTAACGCTGTTTCGGGTAGTAAAAAATAAGTGAAAGAGAATTCGAACTAGGCGTCGTGTTGTGAAGTGACAATTTGAAATGTTAATAAAACTGCCGAAAAAAATTTAACGCGTAAACGAGAGCATAATTAGGGCGTTGTCGGGTGCAATAACATTCAATAACTCAACTTTCCTGGATATTCAACTCTCCCGAAACAACATTTTATAGCTTCATAGTTTCTCACATCGATTTGGTCAAAAGCAAAAATGGACTCAAGCAGTTCGATGAAGCAAATGAATAAACAAAGTACTCGTTATATAATCAAAAAATTAAATATACTAAGGGTCGGCATTTCTGGTCTTGGGTGCCGGTTTTCATGTGTACGAAGAGTACCGTCAACACGCTTAGCAAAATAAGATGTACTGAATAAAAACAGAAAACGAGTATTTTCCTAAGCGTCAGATTAAGTAGTTATGTAATAAATACTTTGTATTTTTGCTCAGTCCGACTACTTACTGGAATGCCATAACGACTCACTCCTATACATGTAAACGCCGACCCAAAGGTTCGCTTGCCAGCGGGGTATATGTCGTAGTCTCATAGTGTATTCCGTCTTTTCACGAAGAGCCTAGTCACTTAATGAAAAAAACTAACCTAATAACATAACTAGCCTGCTAACCTAACCGACCCTTCATGAAGTGACTAGGATCTTCACGAAAAGATGGAATACACTATGTGACTACGACATATACATACTTAAACCTTTGCTTATACTATGAGAGGATAAAATATAATTTGCAATAATAATGGTATACTTTTTTTAATGAACTAGTGATTAAATCTTTTATGAACATCTTTTAAAATTATAATTATGTAGGTACCTTTAAAAAATTTCGTAATAACCCCAATTATGCCCCACTAGCAAAACCGGTGATTAAAACTATGCTCACTACCGTAGTTAAACTCATCTAAAATATTTTTTTAACTGGAATAACAAATTACAAGCAGTCCTCGATTTACGTCGTTTCGTGTTACGTCGTTTCGAGTCCAACAAATTTTTGTCACTATTCCTCAAAGTTACGTCCCACTGTTTCGAGTTACGTCATTTTTTGAAAAGAATGATTCAAATTTTTGAAAGAAGTTTGGATATAAACAATTAAATTTTAGCAGCTTACAAGCAGGGTTAACAGATCCTCATAATGAAAAAGCGGGACAGTATTGCGCATTACTTAATTAGTAACTAAAAAAATAAATTTTTACTTTATAAATATATCTACTTTACTCTCTGGTATTTTTGTGGTTGCCATATAGTATTATATTTACTGTTATGGATAGTTAAAAATACTTTTTATGACTGGATCACTATCCAGTTCACTAAAAAGAGGGACTGCAAAAATACTCGCCCTGATTTGTTTTTCATAAAAAAAACTTTCTAAAATATAATACACTGTTTCGCAAACCTCAATTATTTAAAAATACCATAATATTAATATATACAAAGCATATCCCTTTGTTTTATTTTATTTTTATCTTACAAAAGTACCTAACTTCCCCATTTTCTATAGGATCTTATGACAAAATAAGATTCGACTTACGTCGTTTCGACTTAAGGCGCTGTTTTGAAGAACCTAACCTGCCGTAAGTACGAGGACGATTACACAAAGCTATGGCCAAGAGTGGATCTATCCCCAACATGGCACTTAAGAAATCTGACGGAAGCTACACGGAGGGAGAGGAAGAGAGAGCAAATCTCCTACTTTATACACACTTTCCAGGTAGCATACCTATTGATACTTATATGTAGCTCCCACTGAACCCCACAATCCTTGCAGGGAAGATTGGGAAGTGGCCAAGCTAGTAATAACAGAACAAAAGCTGAAATGGGCGATCGACACCTTTCAGCCCTATAAAGCAGCAGGAGTGGATGGGATCTTTCCTGCCCTTCTAAAGGAGGGTCAGCAAATAGCTACTCACCATCTACTAAGCATTACAAGAAGCAGTCTAGCGATGGGATATATACCAACCACATGGAGAAGAGCAAAAGTAATCTTCATACCCAAAATAGGCAAAACTGACTGGACAAATCCCAAGTCATTTAGGCCTATTTGTCTCACATCGTTCATACTAAAAACGCTGGAGAAAGTAGTTGACAACCATATTGGAGAAAATCATCTAAAGGTTAAACCACTGCATGATAGTCAGCATGCATATAGAACGGGCAGATCCACAGAAACTGCTCTGTACCAATTAACGGAGCTAATACAGACAAGTCTGGATAGCAAAGAAACAGCAATTTGTGCCTTCTTGGATATTGCGGGGGCGTTTGACAATATACCACATAAGGTGGTCAGGCGATCTCTAGAAACAAGAGGGGTGAACAGAACTATTATTCGCTGGTTTTGGGAAATGCTGTCAACACGAACAGCAGAGGCTCAGATGGGCACCAAAACTGTAGCTGTTAAAACAACGCAAGGAACTCCACAAGGTGGAGTAACCTCCCCTTTGCTGTGGAGCTTGGTGGTGGATGAACTACTAGATGAATTAACTCTAGCGGGAATACACTGCATTGGGTATGCAGATGACATAGTCATGATCGCTCGGGGGAAACATGAAGGCACCTTGTGTGATATTATCCAAAGAGGACTCCGTATCACTGAGAGATGGTGTAGGACTGTCGGGCTGAGTATCAACTCAGACAAAACCGCGATAGTGCCATTCACCAGAAGGCGAAGTCTGAAAAACTTGAAAAGAATCCAACTAGATGGAAAGGAAATACTGCCAACACAGGAAGTTAAATACCTGGGAATAACCCTGGACAGTAAACTCCTGTGGAACAGGCATATTAAGAACACTACCAGCAAAGCCATAAAGGCTCTCATGATATGCAGAAGACTGGCCGGAAATAGATGGGGCTGCTCCCCTAACATTTTGCGCTGGATGTATACCATGATAGTAAGACCCATGATTACTTATGGAGCAGTTGCCTGGTACACAAAACTGAGCAACGGACGGCAAGGCTAAACCTGTGCAAAGTCCAGAGACTAGCATGTGTTTGCATCACAGGAGCCATGAGAACCTGTCCAACAGCAGCAATGGAGGTCATTCTAGATCTAACACCACTGCACATTGTCATTGGTAGATATGCCAATGCGACAATGATTAGAATGGTCACTAACGGAATTAGTACTGGGAGAATTGTCAGATCAGGGGCTTGGAACACCCTCAAAAAGGAAATACCACTCCTGCAACTCCCAGTGGACGATATGCCAAGAACGTACAACTTTGACAAACATGTCAATGTAGTATTGAGCAATAAGAAGGATTGGAAGAGCTAAACGCTTGCCCAGCAGTTAAAAGACCATATCATAACTTGGTATACTGATGCTTCCAAAACCAATACGGGAACAGGGATCGGAGTGTTTGGGCCGAGAGCTAATTACTCCGAACCAATGGGCACTTACCCTAGTATCCTACAGGCAGAAATCTACGCTATCGAGAGATGCGTACAACTTATCTTAGATAGGAACTATCGGAAACAAGAAATAGCCATCTTATCTGATAGTCAAGTAGCGTTAAAGGCGATCAACTCAGTATCAATCAATTCGAAATTGGTCAAAGAATGCATAGAGAAGCTGAATAAATTAGGCAAAGAAAACAAAGTCCTCCTACACTGGGTGCCTGCTCACCAAGGGATAGAAGGCAATGAAAAAGCAAATAATCTAGCTAGGAAAGGAGCGAACACTCCACTAACTGGACCAGAACCGTTCTGCTTTCCAAGTGGTAACCAACTCAAGGCGGAACTCAAGAACTTGGAAGATTCCATCCTCAACCTGGAATGGAAATCTTGTCACGGGGTTTTTAACAAGACACTGCCTCCTCAATGAACACCTCAGTAGATTGAAACTAAGAAGAAACGGCGAATGCAGATTCTGTGGGGAAGATGGGGAAACACCAGTACACCTCATCACTGAGTGCGCCGAGTCGACAACCATTCGTGCCATGAATTTTGGTACGACTGATATTGGAGATGGAGAACCACCCTCTATAAAACCGTCCCAGATACTGGCTTTTGTCAAAGCCCTGGGACTGTATGATGAGTTATGATTCAAGAAAGGGGGACACAATGGATCTGTAAGGTCGAAGTGATTAACCCCCCTCCCACTCATTCTAAATTCTAAAAGTACGAGGACTGCCTGTATAATACAAGTTAGACCTTCTGAAGATATCAAAATATTTACTTTTTTATTTTTATTTTTAGAATTTTCACAAATTATACTTCCTAACACTTTTAGAACAATTAAATAATAAAATTTTCGTATACCCGCTATTTAAACCTGTGTATATACTAGTTGTTTACGATATTCTCCGATGGTGACAGCACCGGCGGAGAATGCACCAAGAAATTTTGCTGTCAAATTTGATTTACCGAAATTGTAACGTAAATATAATTTAAATTAGTATTCCACCTAATATTAGTACCTGGTTTAAAGCGTCTGCTATCCTCAGTTATGAGATCTTTTCCACTAAAAAGAGCTTCTTTGAATTCGTCAAAGCTGTCACATTCTGGATACCTTCCTGCTATACCGGAAATTACAATCTCTTCGTTTCTAGTAGCCATTTTGAATTAATCTTCAAAAAAAACGCACACTAAAAGTCACGCTTTAGAAAATAACTACTAACTAGATACTTAACATCAAAAAAGGCCTAAGTATCTAATTTTTGCAAGTTTTCTTTTGATGCCTCAGATAAGACAATGTGATTATGAGGCTCCCGTAATCTGGCTATATAGAAACAAATCCCCAATAAATATGCATGTTGCACATTTCAGATGTCAAATTTTAATTAAATAAATTGTGACCCGTACAACAATAAATTCGGAATATAATTTTCATTACAATTCGTTCTTTGGCATTTCTTTAATTTTTTAATTGTATTATTTTTGGCCCGAATAAATAATTATTGTAAGAAGATTTTGGCTGATTCATTTTTTATTTTATTACTGCCTTAAATCAATTCTGTACAGGGAGACCCAGTTTGCTTGAAATCATACGATATCCCCGTTATTAGTAAAGATAGGAGGATGTTTCTTTTATTATCAATCACTCTAATAAAAATTATATTTTAATGAAAACTTTTATATATTGCACAGTGAATAATAAAAATATATTAATATTATAAAGTTTAGTTCATATCTTCACAAATATTCTTTTCGTAGAATAACAGACTATGCAAGTGTATTTTACCCGTAAAAAGTACTACAATAAATATTTTTTATCTTCTCGATATCTTTCACAATAACAGAAATACGGGGAGTGTCTCAAATTGCAAACTCATCAAAAAGACCCTGTAGCTCAAAAACGAAGAAGGCTATGGAAATTTAGTTTACATCATCTTCCGTTTGACGAAAAAGTGGGAGAAGTTGCAAACCGCATCCTTCTATGTTCACTAATAACGGAGATACCGCATGATTTCAACGAAAACGGGACGCACCCTGTACATAATATGCACTTAACAGTGAATCAAAATGCAGAGTTGACAATATTAAGTAATTAACCGTTGTTGGTAAATGTCCACGGAAACTCCGTGCTGGCATTTCGTAACAATATTCACTTAATAGGTAAATACAGTTCAATGCCTTAATAATAATACTATACAGTATGTAGAATAAATACTAATATACAGTATGTCCAATACACTTCCGTTTCTGGGCACCGGCACGCATATTCGGAATTTGCGGACACATTAGCCGTTCGGGTTAGTTCGGGTGCTGCGTAAAGTACCGACGTATTAGACTAATACGTCGGCGATTTACGATGCGCTCAAAATATTGTTCTATCTTTCCAAGTTTGTAAATCGGATTTATTTGATCCGTGTCTGTAATGGGTATTTGTATTTTTTTATGATAATCAGTAGTTGTCAGTAGTTGATTTTCATCGTTTTCCAGTGAGTAGCACATTTCGAGCAGATTTCTAATTCAAAAATATCGATTTTAAGACATTACCAGATGTACCTGATAAAGGGATAGCCTCTAATAAATTGAGATTGCAGATCACTGATAAAAACAATTTTTACGTATGTTGATTTTTGCACAGAAATTAAATAATAACACTAATGTTTTACCTAATATATCATAATGCAAAATAAATAGTAACAGCACAGGTAACGTAGTATACCTTATCTGTGGTAATAGTAATAAAACAAAACTGAATAAAATTATATATTTCAAAATAATTTAAAACAAAATTTTATTTTTTTAGTTTCAATATTTTATTGTTGAAGTAGTATATCCATTTATGCTTTTGTTTTTTTTTTTGCGCAAAAGTCTTGTGCGGTTTCATGTGAATACGAAACATACCATACGATCCAACAAATAGCGTCAGAACTGGCATGGAAATAAAGATACTTGTCATCAAAGTTATCTATGGTTGTCCGAGTGGTTGTCATTTTGTATGTAAAATTATATGGGGAATGTCATCGATCTTATTTCCAAACCAACTGGACGGCGGCTTTTTTTTTTGTTCATACGGTCATTAAGTCTGAAAACTTAACTTATACCCTTTATTAAGGCTTTAATTATTATTTTTATTTTCTTATAGAAACTAAGGCTAACTGCCTTGGAAAATGTTAGAAGAAGAATTTTTGAAAGAGTTTCAAAAACTTTTTAAGATTGGTTCTGTGAAACTACGTCTAATATTTAAGAGATATATTACTGTCTTTTTAACGTAAAAGAAAAACAGTAAAGCTTGCCGAAAAAGAACTTCCCGAAATATAGACTGTCCAGTAAAATTATTAGTAACTATCAAACAATTTCTTTCAGTCACAAAATTAAAAAAATATGGGTTTAGGAGGGAATAAATAATTAACTCTCAAGAATAAATCGTCTTAATTTTTTTTATTCCCATATTTTTTTAATAATAAACTTTGCTTAGACTTAAGTTGTTTAATAATTTCTATATACAGGGTAATCGAGCATATTTTCGCCATTAATGAGTTATTTAACAGAAAGTAAATTTTTTTAAGTTACCCTAAAAAAAATTTAGTTTGTAGTTTGTTGTACCCTAGTTTGTATTGTAGTTTGCTGTACCCTAAAAAATTATCCTACTAAAAATGACAAATTAAAAATTTGCTCGTGAAATTTTTGATGATCATTCTGCTTATTTTAAATGGAATACACCGAATATTAAGATTACCTTCAGTATTAAAGATAATTTCTGTTCAAGTCGGCTTTGATTTTCCAACAGTTCTCGATAAATGCAATATAATATAATATGTATAAAACCTATGCAATATGCAGTCAACGGTTATTTCGTTTTCGTAAATCGCCGGCGCATAAGGGTTGGGACTAATCTAAATACGTCGGCTGTGATGTCGGTACTTGTATCAGCCGTCCGTCGCAGTAGCCGACGTAATCCGAGCGGCTAATGTGTCGGCGAATTCGGAATATATGCCACCGGCATAGCTACGTCGCCGTCGCGTCGGTTCAAAGAGAAGTTGCAAAAATGATTTTTGATTGCTTTCTTTTGATTGAACTTTTTTAGTTTTCTGCGTTGAATTCTAACTACTTTGAATATTTTGATTTTTAAATTGAATGACTAACGTCACATTTTCAGTCAGCGTCTGTGTCAATCGGCTCTTATAGTAATATGCGTTTACGATATTTGTTTTATGATTTCGATTGCTATTATTGGTTTGATTAAATGGATTACTTATTTATTTACCTACTGGTATTATTTTGAACGATATACTACCCGAGAAAAAAAAAGGATGACCTACAAAAAGAAATGATCCAACACAATTCTTCCACTACTAAAAGTTCTGAGAATTTTGTAAAACTAAGACAGTTATTTTCGTTAGTATCTACTGTAGGACCTATTGAAAAACCTTTGTTATTTAATCAATTACAACAATATCAACAATTATAGTTTCCGAATCAATATTAGACATTTTTATTTCTACCGGGTGCATCTCAAAAGTGGCTCATCCCTATAAATCTTTTACTTTTTCAGATAAAAAACGAGACTTGGTATGTTAGTACCGTATGATGAAAAAAAAAAACGGCGTTCAGTTGGCTGGGAAATGGCGATCGATGACATTTCCCATATAAATTGACATTGATCTTCATTTCATAGCCATCGCTGACGCCGTTTTTTCTCGATCATATGGTATTTGCCATAAATTAGGATTGATTGACATATTCAATTGTTTTTGGCCACTTCCTGTTTCGCCGGAAATGCCTACAACTTTTGATTTTTAAATGGCACTCTCAGTATGTTTTTGCTTTAACCGATAGAAAATGATACACTTTGCTAAAAAAATCGTATTTCAAATTTTATTTTAGTGTACCATGGTTGTGTTAAAAACACTAAATTTTAATCAAGGAGCCTTGGAAAAATAGCTTGAATCGTCTAATGTTCTTCTTCAGCAGTCGGTTCTTCGACGCTCCACTTATCCGTAGAATTTACTGCTGAAGATTCCCGAATACAATTCGGACCACCCTGTATAATATTCAACTTATTTTACTAATGCGTTTTACCTTTGTTAGAAATATAAATGCCCTTTTGAATTAACGAGAATAAATTACTTTTCTGTACTTTAAAACAATAAATTGTTCTTCTAATGGATGTAGAAATAATGGAATTTATTTGGAAAATTTTTGAAAAAGCCATAGCATTTTTACTTACTTACTGTCATTATGAACGTTGAGAAATATACAGGGTGGTCCCAACTGTATTCCGGAAACTGCTGCAGATAAAAATAAGTAAAAAAGTTTGTATAAATCTATGTCTTAAAATGATTAGTTTCGGAAATACAGGGTGTAGAAGTTTAATTTTTATTTCGATTTTTTCCAAATAATTTCTAAAGTAACGTCAATATTTGGATGAAAATTGGTGCCTAGGAGTTTTCTGACATGAGAAACTTTATTTTTATGTCAATATGACTCCTATTTGTAGGGGCGCCACCTACATGTGTTTTAACAGGTTTGAAGCGTTATAACTTTTCTTCCGTACCTGTATAAAACTACTGAGTGAAAACATGTATATTTCCGTGATTTTTTACGTAAAAAATGTCTCTTGGTAAAAATCGCTGCGAGCAACCTTTCTCAAGATATTTAGAATGGAAATAGTCAATACATGTCATTATTGACAAAAAAATAAACATGTTGAGTAGATTATAGATATTATTATTATTAGATATTTGATTGAAATAATAAATTTGTAAAATTTTTATTTGTTTTAATTAATCACAAATTTTTCTGCGAAAAAAATCATGATAAAACAATTTCTGTTGAACTTTTGACACAAAAACATTTCATATTTAAGATTTCACTCTGATAATTATTTAGTCAACATGTTTAATTTATGTCAATGATGTAAAAGATTGATAATTTTGATTCCAAATATCTCGAGAACCAAACCAAGGAGAGAATTTCAATTACTCGTAGCGATTTTTTTACCAAGGGACCTTCTTTACGTAAAAACGTCGTAAATGTATATTTTTTCTCAGTAGTTTTATACAGGTACGGACGAAAAGTGATTAGTCTTCAAACCAGTTAAAAAATATGTAGGTGGCGCCCTCTATAAGTAGGAGTCATATTGACATCAAAATCAAATTTCTCATGTCAAAAAACTTCCAGACACCAATTTTTATCCAAATATTGACGTTAATTCTCAAATTATCTGAAAAAAATCGAAATAAACATGAAACATCTACACCCAACAAAGTCCCCATTTTAGGACATACATTTATACGAATTTTCTTACTTATTTGTATCTGCAGAATATACTGCTGAAGATTCCAGAATACAGTTCGGACCACTCTGTATATTACTGAATTACACTAAAAATTCATATTTGTACTAATTTTAAACGTCTTATTCAAATGAAAATGACCGTTT